TAGGGCTGGTCTAACCACACCCACGATCTCCCTCTCCCTGGTATTAGCACAACTCCCTCTCCTTTCTGCACTCTGATTGGCACTCTCCAGGTTCGCCTCCCCCTTCTCTTCTCTCCCATTCACAAAAATGAAACCCCCCAGCTGTCGCCCCTCTGCAGTTCGCAAACCCCTCTCCCATCTCTCTCTCTTTCACGAGAAAATACCTAAGCGGAAATTCCATCTCCCCGTGGCTTTTCAGTTCAAACAGCCAGCCCTCCCCGACGCCTCTGCTCGCACGCCCAAGGAAGCTCCGGCCAAAGGATCCATCTCTTCCTTCCCCCTCTCATCTGTTCTGCCCAGGAAAGCCCGACATCGCTTCCTACCCTAGCCGACGCCAACATTCCCACTTTGGTACAGGTAACCGCTTCTTCTACCTTCCTCTAATACTCTCCGTAGTCTCTCTTGGAATATGAGACTGCTGGATGAAAACCAATGCAATCCACATTCGGACTAACTTATCTTCATTGAACGCATGATTTGTGAAAATATAGAACAAAATTAAAAAAAAAAAAACAAATTTGTAGATTTTTGGCAGACCTATATTGTTTAGTCTTAAGATGGAAAAATATAATTCTGACCCAAAGTGTAGTACTCAAATTGCTTTCTAGAACTGTTACCACTTGCCTTTCATTCAAGTTAGAATCTAGAGCACCCCAATTGACCTTTGCCTCAAATGGTGATCCTTCAAGCTTTTTAATTACCTCTCCAGCAATGGCTCCTAATTTTTTTAAAGATAATTAGGGTCCTCTCTACATCATGAAATGCATGATAGTTGAGAAGTTGCAAAGACTCACCTATGGCAAATTATTGCATCCGGTCACCGGACGCGGAGATAGGTCCGGATATTAATAAAATATTATTTTAAATTAAGCGCATGAAAGCACAGCTAAAGTGGAGGTAAAGAGCAGGTAAAACGCAGGTCAAAGAGCAGTCAAAAGCGCTTTTTTACTTCAATATTTCATATAGATTAGACAATTGCAATTTTTCATTCTAATGCTCTCCAAACACTTGTAAATGGAATGAAGAGCATTCATATATTTTCTTTTTCATTGGCAAGCATTCACAAATTTCTTGTAAAGTATTTTGGAGAAATTATTTAAAGAACATTCATGTGCTAAGTGAGATTGGAGACGATTTTGATGTTAGAAAGTATTCATTATCCTTTTCTTTTTCAAATATGAGCATACATAGATATTATGT